AACCATTGAAGTAGCCCAATTCTGCCGAGAACGGTCCGATTGCAACACTTGTTCCGTCAAGGTTGAGTATTGAACATTGTCACCAATCGTCCAATTCGAGTAGGATTTGAGCTGCCCACCCGCACATCTCAAAAGAATTGCAGATTTCAGCTCTTCTTGAAATGCTATCCCTGACTTGACCGTCTCTTCAAACACCTCTTCCAGCGGAGGTTGCAGAGCACTGTTCATCGAAAATGCTGGCCATGTAGTGGCTGCTCCCACAAGCGCTAATCCTCTCGCCTTTGAAGTCGGTTTCAAGGCTCCGTGTAAACTTTTCCAGGCATCAAGCCCATTGGAGTCCTCCACAGCTTTAACCAACTGTAGTGCTCTGCCCCTCATCAACGAAGCTAGCAATCCATATAACTTGATGCACCTGGTTTGCTCCACTGAACTGAGATACTTCTCAAATACCCATGACACCACTCTCTGAACGCTTTGATCTCTTCTTCTTGTGACTTATGTTCAAACAAGCCAGGCTTTGTGGTCAGCTTTGACCAACCTGTTGTACTTGCCTTCTTATCTTCTACCGCGTTCTTCACTGCCTCTGCTGTTGTTGCTGCTGCTTGCGTGCTTCTTGCAACTTGTTCCAGGATCTCTCTTATCTCATCCATAGTCCCAAAACAATATTGTGGAACTCACACAATGTACGGTGTACAATGTGCAGTTCACACCAGTTTGTCAGCAGTTTGGGTTCCAAAGGCCCCAAATCTATGGCTCAAACGCACCCGAGACCCTGTGACCTAGGGGCTTTTCTCTGGAGTTCAAAGGGGGTTACCCTTATCCTTGCTCCGCTACCATACGAACGGTTTCCTCTCAATCCAAAAGCGGGCTGCGGGTGAAAAGCATGATACAATGCACCTATGATCTACACTGCAAAACTCTTCACAATATATAACTATACATGTAATTATATATATATCGAATATATTGAAATGGCCTGTCATTAGATAATCTGTTTTCAAAAAAGCGGTAAGCACTGACCATGACAGATCCGCCGTCGATGTGGCAAGTGGCTCTGAAGTGCTAATTTCCCGGCATTCCCGGCATATCAAAGGGTCAGAAGTCTATAGACCTACCACTACCGGATACTACCGGCCACTACCTGACCGGGCAAGTTGTTCACAATGTTGAACAGGACACAAGTTGCCTAGCAGGTCAAGCGGGCTGATGGAGCATATATTTTCGTGGAATCTACCGCTTCGGGCTCAGTCTCTAATTGACACAAGCAAATAGAGTCATAAGCATCGGCATAGATTGGGGGAATTGGGGGAGTGCTCGTGCGTGAAGCCTGAAACTTGGAGGAATGCCTCTCCTGAGCCCGTCTTTGCCGTCGTCGCCATTAAAATTGAAGCTGAGCCACGTGGTTGCAATGGAATGCTGTTTGTGATGTTGTGGACAGGCTCAAGGCGGCGTGAAAAGCTCTGCCTGAGGAAGACTATGATTTTGATGTGTGCATATTAGAGCGCACGATGGCAGATGCGTTCGCGCACCTGTGAGATTCCCCGAAGTCAGGGTCTCTCCTCCAAAACCCGCATGCTAATGGCCAAGGTCGATTGCCCAGCCCGGCTTTGTATTCAAATACTTCCTAGCCTCTTTACATGATATAAATATGATTCAATGCTGAAGGTCACTGAAAGTTGCAAGAACCGTCAGCATCTTTGAAGTAAAATAGGCATACAACTAAAGAAAACGCTTGTACCAAGCCACAGGCCATAGTGTTTCCTTGCTGAACGTTCTGTTGCGTAACAGGAATGGTGGCACACTCCTTGCGGCACTCGCTGATACCTGATCCACAGACTCAAGCGGCTCAAGCGAATGACTCAAACCCCAACAAAAGGGAAACCAAGAAAGCCGGACAAAAAAAGAAAAACACAACTAGAACCGATCGTTGAGATGTCTCTGGCCTTAGAAATGTCTTGATTTATATACGTTACATATCTTTGCAAACAGGAGCAGGGGGTTGGGCTTTCAGAGCAGCTCAGACTACCAAGGCACTCGAGTAGTAACGGCCAATCGGACTGTTGGGCTCACGGCAGGTGCCCATAAAGACTTGACAGTACCTGAAGTATGGCATGTGACAATGTGGCTTGAGGGTTTCTGATCATCTTCGGATTGAACTGCTTATGTTATTTATTGTCCAAACAACACATACAAGAACAATCAAGCACAAAGGTATGCCAAAAGAAATGCACAGGCGCTGTTTGCAACCTCCTGGCCAGGATGGTTGCGGAGTATCATATGGTGGTGGCGAAGGCCCATAATGGTGGCCTTACAAGCCCAGCTCGGGGGAGGAAGCGGCGCAGGAGTTTGAGTGTTCCCAGTGTTCTCTCAGGAAATGAACTGAAACAAACCAAAGGTATTACAGAAGCCTTCTCAGGTGGTGGTTCTAGATATTCCAGGCTTTTTGGCCAAGGCCAGTAGACTCAAAAGCCTAGAACTGGAACCCTGGATCCAGCAGCCCTGAAAGGTTCGGAATTTCTCGCAGTCGGAACATCCCCTCCTTTGGGGAGCCGGACTCTGTGCCAAGGAATGTCGAGGAGAAGTGCCTGCTCGACTGAAGACCAACAAAGGGGTGTGTATTTTAATAGGAAGACCCCCAGCCTTTGTGTTTTGGCGCAGTTCATCCGAAGTTCATCCACAAATTGAGAAGTATAAAGTATAGTTGTTAATTTTGTTTGGGTTGAACTTGGAGTGACTTTTCGTAGGTGGTGGTGGCGGTGGCGGTGGTGCTGCTGGTGCTGGTGGTGGTGCTGCTGGTGGTGATGGTGATGTTGCTGGTGCTGGTGCTGGTGACGACTCCCATTGCTAGACCTCGGCGCTGTCAAACTGGCCTCGTGCGCCCTGTGCGTCCGTCTGCAGCAGGCTGCCACAAAGTTCCCTGCAGCGCAGGTAACAGTTCGAAACAGGTCAATGACGGTCCATGCCTGAACCTTTGAACTTTGAACCAAACACGACAAATTTGTCGTGCAGCTTTTTCTCAATCGTGACGCAGGTGCAACTGGGACCAGCCAATTATGCAATTAAAAAGAAACGCTTGGGGGCCTTCCATCGGCTTCAGTGAAGCACGGTCCCCGCAGGATGAAACACATGTTTTACTGTACGTTTTTGCCCGGTCCTACTTAATGAAGTAAGGGAGTAAAGACGCAACTAGCTACTGGACGCAGGAGAGCGCTCGCACTGATGATTTGGTTACATTTGGTTCCCAGATTCTTAGGGAAACTTAACCCGTGGATCATCGTATGACAAGTGCCCGACCCAGCCCGTTGTCTCTCCTCCCCCGGTTCTGCTGCTTGGTGTCGTTGCTTGCCGCTAAAAAGCGACCTCAAAGTAGCTGAATGAGTGCGCCCAGCTTGCTTGCATCTAGCAATGAAAGCTCGATGTCTCTAGAATACTTGATCTTGTTCTCTACTGCGGACATCGCTACATACAAAATCTCTGCAGTTGAAGGGGAAGCCAGTCTTCCCTTTGAGTTGAATCCTGCTTTCCCGGTGGAGAGAGCCTGCTACGTCCCGCTTGGCTGACACACAAACACTGGGAAGAATTGTACAGTAAAGTAGAGGACACATGATGATAATCTCTCCATGTCTACAGTCTGGACGGACGGAGGGAGTGCATTTTTGAGGAGGTGCCATGTTGATTGCAAATTGACTGTTTCATGAATTACTGTGCCGAGGTGTGCACAAGCCGATTCTCCAACCACTTGGAGAGCAAAAGTACGCGCATCTGAATCAGTCATAGACTCCTTGGTGGCAAACACCAAACGCTTCGACGACTAAAAGTAACTTGCCTTTTCTGACATAGGTATATAAGATTGTTATGCATATGTCTATATATATACATATACATATATGTAACTATATGTGTTATGTCATATGGCTGCTTTGCTGCCTAGCAACATGCTCGAGACCAGTCTTGCGTTGTTTCTGCAGGAGGACCGATCCCTCCTGATGCTGGTCCATTTTGTCCCTTGCAAGTCACTCACGGAAATCATAAATTCCTCATGGGGTGGCCCAGTTGTGAATCTGTCTTAAAGACCTAAAGAGAAGAACACCGAAATTGAAGATTGTCGTCTGGCAAGCGTCGATTACAAACATCTCCCATGTAGGGTTTCAGTGAAGGTGTCTGTTGTTTTGGATGTTTACAGCAATAGTTAAGTTATGATTTCAATGATCAACAGTCCGTACATTCACACACCTCCAGTTCTTGGGACAGTCCTCGCAGTTACCAGCATCACAATTGTCCTGCGGATGAGCACAGAGACAGGTGAATGTTCCGGCGAAAAGATGCGAAAAGCATATCGTATCGCATCCCCGGCCATGCGCTCGATATAATTGACCTTTTCCTGATAGGGTCTAGTCAAAAAAATAAACTGATATCATCACCTGGCTGCAGTGCCGGCCAAGTTTCTGCGTCCTTACTTGCCACGAGGTGGAGAGTAAGCAAAAGAAAGCCGCGATGCAGCATAGCCTGAGCTGAGCTAGCAAGAGACTGTCATACAATACGCGGCTTCCTGATATCTACCCTCCTGCTTTGAGCACAACTGCCTAAAGGCTGAAATCATTCAAGCTTGAGACCTGAATGGGCTTGTACACTCAGCTTTACCACAAACAACTTGAGTTTGGTTGATCTTGACAAAAGTATCCTTGGCCTGGACCTCATGGGCAAACTAGCATGGGCGGTCGTGCTTGGCGTACCGTTACATACATCACATTCTGAATGGATCCAAGGTGCTTGCGAGCTGCGAAGGTTTTCGGGCAAGCAAACTCTGGGCTTTTGTGCTCCAAAACGCTGCTAAATCATGGAAAGCAAGGTGATGTAACTGTAAGGTTTCGCTGAGTCTGTTCATGAAAGCACAAATACCAGTCTTTGCGAATGGAACCCAAGTAAACTGCCACTCCAAGATGATACTGATGTGATTGCGAAAGGCACAACATCCGTTGACCAACTTGGGGCCCGGCCTTCTAAAGCTCCTTCTCGGATTTTGCTGACTGGTCGTCCTTGTCTCTGGAATTGCATCATTATCTTCTATTTTATGCTGTCAAAGTGTGCATGCTGCATGCACTCACTACCCGCTAGCAGCCGCTAGCATGAAGGTTTATGGGGACACCTCCTTTTGGCTCTTTCCAAACAAATCCATCAGTCCTGGAAAGGAGTCGACACGCAAAAATCTGACTCGCCAAGGTTGGGCGAGTTGGAAAAGACCTCGGAAATACCCACATGGCTCTTGCAGACACGCTGAGTGGCGCAGAAGCACCATTTTGGACAACACAGAATGACACAAGGATGATTCGGCAACTCCGGATTCCGCTCAGCTTCGAAGCTTGGCAAAACGCAAGCGTCCAAGCTCGGTCGGATCCGTCAACTTTGTAGTACCATGTAGTGCCAACGCTCAAAAAGCGCCGGGCAAACCTAATTTAATTGGTACTAGTCTGCACCAAGGAGCCAAAATGTGGCTGCTGCCTTCCGGCACTGGGCCAGCCAGCTCCACCTACCAATCTCCAGCATCTGTCAAACCCGCAAGCAAGCACATTGTCAAACAGTTGATGACATTCAACATGATCTGCATTCAACAGGTCTGTTTTTGCATTTGCGGGGCACGGCACTTTGTTGCACATTTGATTCAATGTGTGTGTGTGCACGTGCGTGCGGGGCCAAACGGCTTGCAGCAAGCAACTCAGGACTACTCTCACTGAGGTTCTAGCAAACTTTGCATGAACACACACAACGTACAGGGTGACTCAGCTATCCTCCACAGCCTCTGGTGGGTCGTCTTTGCGCACATCCTCAGCGCAAGCAATCTTTGAGAAAAAGAGATAGACTCTGGATTTCAGAGGTGAGGAACTTGGACAAAATGCAGGAAACCAGCAAATACAAATTTCAGAAAGCAGCGAATTCGCGAAGGGTTCTAGATCCAGTCATCAAGCGACTTGGCACATTTGACTGAGCTGGAGAGCCAGACTCGGATGTGGCCGTTCTTGGCACCGCTAGACACATCATTGCTGCAGGGTTGCTTGCCCCAGAAGATCCTGCAGTGCTTCGATCATGAAACCTACCTTCAACGCGCCCATATATCAGCTTCAGGAAAGAAAAGTCATCATGGATCACCAACCAACTATCCAAGTATGTTACAGCACGGACAAGAAGGCAGCAGCTTCAGGTTTTTTGTGTTTACAGGAACGAACTCTTGGACAAGGATCCTGTCCAGGTATTCTGCATGGACCCTCTTTTTGTTCTTCCTCATCTACTTATATCCATCTATGAAACCAAAAACAGACCAAGGAAAACCAGGTCTAACTCCAAATCAAAAACTGAGAAACAACTCTGTGTCTAACTCCTTCTGAACTTTGTTCACAACAATGGTGAAAAACATAGAACCATTGATTGAACCATTAGTTGTGTCTCTAACGATAGGTTGATGGAAGGCCTATACTGAATCCGCCGACCCCACACTGTGGGGTGAGGCGTGACTGTCGATGTTAGCCTTGGCCTTGAGCCTTAGCCTTAGCCTTAGACTTAAGCCTTAGCCTTATCCTTAGCCTTAGACCTAGTCCTTAGCCTTAGACCTAGACCTTACCTCCCCTACCCCTCCGGACCCTTGTTGCAGTGACGAAATCCCGACCTAAAAGCGACCTGATAGCTACGGAATTTGACGGGAAAGCGACCTGATGGCGACCTGGATTGTCCAAGATTCTGCCATCCCAATTGATTTACATCTTGGGGCACCCTCTCGACCCGCGCGGGAAAATAAGCACGGTCCAAAATGGTCCTGGGCTCGAATCCCGGGCTGGTCGCGGCATGGTCCCGGCCAATGCCCTTGTTTTTTCGTAGATTTTGTCACGTTTTCTGTTGGTTTATGAGATTTTCAAAGGCTTTTCTGGCATTTTCCTAGGAATGCTCTAGGCTTTGTCTAGATTTTGTTACGTTTTCGGCTGGATGCTTTTCCAAGAATTTTCTAGCGCTTCCTCTTGTTTTTAGGTTCCCAGATTTCTCCCAAAAATTGGTAACCTTTTGCTAACCTATGGAACTTTCAAAGGCTTTTCTAGCATTTTCCAAAGATGGGCCCCCCTAGTTGAAACACTTGTAACTTACTTGGTGAAGTTACAAATTACTTAAAACTAAGTTAGCCGGAGGGCTTCGTAAGTAAGATGTAACTTAAATGTAACTATTTTTAAGTTCTATAAGTTCTAATTGGTGATTTTTGATGTTCAAAAACTATGTTTTTTCAGGTTTCCCAGTAGCAAGGCCCAAAACGAAGGACATCGAAAAACTATGCTTTTTACCTGGGAAAGCGCTGCTGTTGCAAGGGTTTTTCATGTAGAACACTCACCGCGCTGCTTTGCTGAAGAAAAGCAAAAAGCAAAACAAAAAAAAGCAAAAAATGCGCTTCGAATTTCTTCGGTGGACCACCACCGCGCTAAAAGAAAAACACTTTCTACTTTAAACCATCAAAGCGCGTAAGAAAAAGCAGAACGCACACAATGACCTACATCTGTGTGTTAGGAACACGCTGGGCGGTGGTCCGTCCAAAAAATTGAAGGCGATGGTCCGTCCAAAAAATTGAAGGCGGCGGTCCGTCCAAAAAAGTTGATGGCGGTGGTCCGTCCAAAAATTTTGATCGCGGTGGTCCGTCCAAAAAGTTGTGGCCGGTGCCCAAAAAACGCGGTGCACCCTGATGAACAAGAGGCTATATGTACAGTAGATGTACGGTAATGTACGGTAGATGTACGGTAATGTACGGTAGA